CCGCCCCCCTGTCACACACCAGAAGCCGCAGGGGCAATCAGGGGAGTTTGGGGCGCTGCCCCCCTGTCATGCTGATCCTAGTGCCGGGAGGGCCTCGCAGCTCTGCTGATCCCGCCCGGCAGGGTCACAGATCCGGGTCCCAGACCACAGACAGCCTTGCCTGCTGCCGCCTGCCTTCAGTATGCAAATTAGCCGCCATCTTGTTGCTTCAGGGTGGGGGTCCCCACTGGGGTGCCTGGCCAGTCTGGGTGAGGGGCTGAGGGCCGTTTTCAGGCTGGCGGGCGACTGAAGCTCCAAACCTCTCCTTTTTTTCTTTTTTCTTTATTCTGGCATTTATTTACCTTCTATGGCTGTCACTGGAGCTGAGAGCCGGCTTTCTCTTTGAGGCTCGGCTGAAAGCAGGTTTCTGGCCTTTGTTTTCCGTATTCGAAACAGTGTTGTGACTCCAGCTCTGAGATCCCGGCTGACTGACAGGAAGTTTCTGGGGTTTTGTTTATCTTCTATAAATGTTACAATGTTTCCAACTGAAGCTCAGAGGCTGGCAAGGCAGGCAGGGAAAGTTGGAGTCCTCTGTCACTGAAGGAAGCAAGTCTCCCTGTTCTCATCAGCTGCCTGGCTGCCGGCCGCCATCTTGGCTGACAGATAATTTGCATATCTCCCTGATTAGCCAATGGGAAGGGTAGTGGTCGTACGCTAATTACCATGTTTCTCTTTTATTAGTGTAGATAGAGGCCCATAAGACTCGAATGCCTCCCATTTACAGTATTTTCATTTTACTAAAAAAAAACTGGACTTGACTGCCATTCAAGGTTACAGTCTTTGTCCAACCCCAATGGCCCATTATTTATAAAGAAAAACTAAGACTGAGCCTTCCCACTGTCCGGTATTCGCTGGCACCCTGTCCTGGGGGCGAAAAGACCCCCTCCCTCTCTTGAGCCGGTGAAAAACTGACCTCCCCACACTGACGTCCAGAAACTGCCCCACCCCGGTGGAAAGTCCCTGCCAGACAAACAGCTCCTGGAAATGGCCAAAACCGCAGGACAGACCGCAGGTTTCACCTGACTCCGGAAAACCCCCACTGCCACCAGTTTCTGCCAGCATAAAAACTTGCCCCTGCTCCAGTTTGGCGCGGCTTCTCCAGCTCCCCTCTCTGAGCTGGTGAACCCGCCCGTGTGCTCCCAATAAAACCTGTTTAATCTGGTCTCTGTTTGGACTCACGGTTTTTTCTTGTGGCGGCATAAAACCTAAGACCCACTACCAGGGCACTTCATTATCCTACAAAAAGTTGGCTCCTCAATATTTCCTTTGGGTTGATTATCCTAAAGGGAATGTGTGCATGAAAAGGGGACACCTGCTACCTTAACAAGCTCATTGAAGGCCTGCATATCAGTCTTTCAAAGAGACCTAAAGTAACCAGAAAGGATGGTTTGAAATGAAAATCTTTTTAAAAGCAGTTTATAGCAAGTAGTCAGGTCCTATGCAAGAATTTTCCTTAAAAAGAGGGAATCCTGCCGAAACCGGTTTGGCTCAGTGGATAGAGTGTTGGCCTGCGGACTGAAAGGTCCCAGGTTTGATTCCGGTCAAGGGCATGTACCTGGGTTGCGGGCACATCCCCAGTAGGAGATGTGCAGGAGGCAGCTGATCCATGTTTCTCTCTCATCGATGTTTCTAGCTCTGTCTCTCTCCCTTCCTCTCTGTAAAAAGTCAATACAATATATTTAAAAAAAAAAAAAAGAGGGAATCCTTATCTAAGCCTGTCTATTGTCTTTTGCAGCCAGGATAACATCCCTTTGGAATATCAGGGTAACTCCCCTTTTTCCAGAGCCCTCAGGACACAACCAGTGCCCCAGGGGGAAACTGTAAACCCTCTCGTTATTATGTTAATTGTTCACTGTTAATTAAGGTGTGTACACAATCATTTTACTTTTCACCCACTCCTCCAGGTTTCCTCACCGGGCTCTCCCGGACCTCTCTAATCTATCACCAATCAATTTCATATAACCCACTTCCATCTTCTCTCTCTTTTCTTTTTATAAGGTGTGGCAGATGAGTGGTTGAGGTTTTTATTGCAGTGGAAGTGGGAGGGAATGAACTATTACCCAAGGGAAAAGAAAAAGGGAAGGCAAGGAGCAGTTTGCCTGGATTGTTTAATAAGTAAGACCCCGTACTGATAATTACCCGCTGAGATGTGTTAGGTTAGGTGGTTCAGGAGGAAAGCAGAAGGTTTATTTCTGTGTCCCCGGGAGACCCACGTACCGGCAAAGACAGGGCACGTGGATTCACACCAACAGGGAGGGGGGCGCTTTTTTTATACTGCGGTTGGGTGAGGGGTGGGGACATGAGCTGAGGTATTCAGTTGAGGAAGTTTCAGCTGCAGGGGGTCAGCCAGGTATTCAGGAATGAGTCAGTATCTGTGTGGGGGTCGTTGTGGATTCAGGGAGAAGCCGGTATCTGTGTCTGGCATGCTGATCTGTTAGACATGTCAGGGGGAGTCCATTATCTCCTTACATTTCAGCATGTATCCTATCCTGGGCTCTCTCCGACCTAACAAGATGGCTGACTTCCTTAATTCAAGCTGCCTCTCCTTCAGTGGGGAGACACAGGGGCTGAGAGAGCAGGCTGCCCTTCCTCCTCCCGCTTCCTCACTGAGGTTTTTTTAATGACTCCCGGGAAATTTGAGTCAGGAAGTTTCTGGTTTCAAACTCAATCGGCCCCACTTTTGAATTCTCTAACTTCACTGTAAGAATGTTCCTGGCTTGTGAAGATCTTGAGAAAGACACCTCCCTGGGACACCTGCAGCTGAAGGGCAGATCAGCCATAGCTCTAAGCACAGCCTCTGGGATCTGGGAAACTTCTGTGTGAATTCCCCTGATTCCCTCCTGTTTGGTGCCACTTCCAGGAGCCAGCCCCAGAGACATGGTGAGACTTTAGGAAATTGCATTGCATTCTCTCACCCCAGCTGGAGACCCAGGTGTTGGTGTCAGCCCTGAGCGGGTGACGAGGTTTCCTTTAGGGTAGAAGTATGAGCTACAGGGTCAGGGTGTGGTGCAGGCGTTGGTCAAGAGGCAGAAGGCAGAATTTGGTCAAGGGAGTCTGATAGAACCTCCCTTTACCCCCAACTGGTGGGCAGAGTATGACCTAACCTGCAGCCCGGAAATACCTGAGTGACTAACCGTGTACAGTGGGGCTTTGACTTATGAGTTTAATTCGTTCTGAGACCCAGCTCGTTAAGGAGCTCATTAACTCAAATTACTCTGTCAACTCAAAGCAAAGAATCTGCGGAGAGACAGCTGGTATCTCAAAAAACTCGTTAGTCGGGACAGTCGTAAGTCAACGCCCCACTGTACCTTATATGGACTATACATTGGACCACCAATCCCCAGCTGCCAAATACCCTAAGCCCTTGTCCTATATGGACAATGCAGTAAGCCACCAATCAGTGTGCGCCAAGTACACTAAGCCCCCGCCACTTCCCGTTCCTCCCCTCAAAAGGTGTGCCCACCCCTGGAGGTGCTGCTCTCCTCCCCTTGCGAGACAGCCTGGCAGGTCGTTCTCTAATAAAGCCTGTAGTCCTGGTTTTCCACCTCTGTCTGATTTTTCAGATTCCAGGGAGGAGATTTCTCCACTGGGTTAGGGCAGGCCAGTACTTACGTTCCCTCTGGGGGCGTCAGCCCTCAGCCCCCAGCTGTGCAAACAGAGGAAGTCTAGGCTGCCCCCTTGCGCCCGCCCCTCCTTCCCTCTGTGCTTCCGGCCTGCTCTCCTTGCTAGTCCCCCCCCTCCCCAAAGCAGAATGGATCAGCTCAGGCTCTGGCCCCGCCCACCCCGCAGGGAGGCGCATGCGCAGTTCCTTGCAGACGCGGAAGCGGCTGTGGAGGGGGAGGTGGCGGTTCCCCTGAGGAGGGTGTTTGTCTTTAAAGCTGACGCTCCCCGTCCCGCTTCCCGCAGGGAAGGCTGAGGGCGCTGCCGGCGCTGAAGTCCTTGTTGGGGTCCCCGCCCCGGAGCCTCTCTCAGCGGTGAGTCCGCGTCCCGGGAGGCTGCGCCGTGCGGGCGCCACGTGCCTTTGGGAGGAAACGGAGGCCCGGCCCGGGGTCTCTCCGCCTGTGGCTGTGGCCACCGCCTGCCGCGTGGTTTTCCTGCTGAAACCCGTTCCCGGGGCCGCCGGTCCTCTCCGCGGGACTGAGAGTCTGGGTCAGGGGGTTCCCGCCCTTTGCGCCCCTCCCCCCGCCCGGCGCTTTCCGCCCAAAGAGCCCGGATGGCTCCCGGCCTGGGGGTCCGCACCCCCCTCTTAGGCCCACCCCCATTTAATGAGGGGTCTGCCTGCCCGGGGAGCACAGTGTCCATGGGGGGGCTCAGGGGGAGGACGCGGTGTCCCCTGAAGAGGCGACCTGCCCGCAGGGAGGGGCTTTGTGGGCGCGGTGACTGCGGGGGGCGGGGCCCAGGCTGGGGGGTCAGGAGAGGGAGTGAGAGACAGACACGTGGGCGGGAGGAAGGGCAGCGAGGGGTCCACAGAGAGGGGCCCATAGGGGGTGTGGGGGGGACTGGACAGCGACCGTAGGAGTGAGGGGGTCACTGGGGAAAGTGGCCTGAGGAGGAAGGAAGTGGAGACACAGGGAGGAGGGGGAGCCCAGAGAGAGGAAGGGGGGCTGAGAGGGAGCGGGTCCTGGGGAGCAGAAGTGGGGCCCGCACAGGAGGAGGCACTTGAGACAGAGACACTGGTTCAGAGGAGAAGAGTTGGGGAGCGAGTGCAGGGACAGAAAGGGGGGCTCAGGGATGAGGGAGCAGAGGGAGCAGCCCTGAGTCAGCAGCTGTGGGAGCTGGACAGACGGGAACAGGCAGCAGAGGGGCCGCGGGCGTGGGGAGGGGAAGACGCAGACGTGTGTGGAGATGGAGCCTCAGAGACCAGGAGAAACAGCCCCTGAAGTGAAGGAGGTTTCAGGAGTTTCATGGTCCAGGTGTAGGACAGACAGAGAGAAAAGGGGGCAATGAGCAGGGGAGAGGGAGGACACAGGAAAGGACCACAGTGGAAAGGGAGTAGGAGACAGAGACAGATCCATAAACAGAAATACATGTAGTGGGAGGAGGGGAACCCTGATCTGGGCAAGTGGTGAGCTCATGGGGTGTGGATCATTAAGTTGGGATCTATTGGCTTGTGGCTTGTTGAGGGATGTTTAATGAACTGAAGATGCAGAGGTAAGATGAGCACTCAGGCGATTGATTGACATTGATTGAGGGACAGAGGGCTACCGCTTGCTCTGGCATGTAGCAACCTTTGTACTCTCAACCATTGCTTCTTTGGGGGTTTGGTACAGGGTTAGTGCGTCAGCAGTTAATCAACTAAATTTTGTTTTGTTCTATATTACAATAGCGCATTGAACACAACGTGCAGCCGTGCCCTGCCTTTCTGCTCTACACCCACAACTATTTAATCTTACCCTTTCTTAGGGAGGTAAATGTTCCGGGAACTCAAGATTGTGTGCAATCTTGACCCAGCGTGACTCGCTTGCAAGTCACCCTGTGCTCCTGATGGAACATTCACCTCTTCTTGGCAGGAATTCAGATCCTTGATTACAAATGTCCAGCTACATGGCTTTGTGTGTGTGTGTGTGTGTGTGTATGTGTGTATGTGTATTTAAAGATACATATTACTATTGATCTCTGTGAGGCAAAGAGAGGGAGAGATACGCAGTTATTGATCAGCTGCCTCCTGCTGGCCCCTCACTGGGCATCAAACCTGCAACCTGGCCTTAGGCCCTGACCAGGAATCTAACCATGACCTCCTTGTTCAGAGGTCCCAGCTCAATCACTGAGTTATGTGGCCTAGGTGTGGCTTTATATATTTCATTTAACAGCTGAATTGTCTTAGTTATACAGATTTGAATGACAATTATAAATGTCCAGTGTATAAGGCTTGGGAATTTTATAATTATTTGTTTCCAATTGCAAACTTCATTCACTCGGAGGAGAGATACTTGTCTGTTGGTCATGGTTCCCTTGTCATGTCCTGGTATGGCAAGGAGTAAGTCACCTGTGTCTGTCATCATCTGATACTTTTTAAAAGGAATATTCGAAGCCTTAGTTTTGTTGCTGTGGTTGGTGGTGTGTGTGTGTTTGTGTGTGTGTGTTACTTTCCTGAATTTACTTTTTCTATGTCTGATAATTTATTATTTAAAAACATCCTGAGATAAATCCTCTGGGTCTTCTCAGTTCCCCAGAGGAGCTTTAAGAAATGCCCTCAGGTGTGCTTTCCCCCATAGAGTCGGACAGCTTCTCTAGGTGGGGCATCATGGGTTATTGAGGTGCTCTTGGTGATTGGAAGGTGAGGACAGGGATTAGCTGGAGGGTTGCAGGATGCCTTTGTGAGAGTGGGGAGCAAGCTTTGTTCAGGGGAGGTAAGGGGGTGCTCTTTGGTTTAGGAGGTCCGGATAGCAGCTCACCTTATTTCTGTAGGAGCTTGTGAAAGTCTTTGGGAAGAGAGATGCATGAACACATACACTCGAAAATTCACAGTGTGGTCTCCATGTAGGAGCTCATTGTCCCTGTCTCTCTCCTGTGACCAGGGACAGGAGGGGTGTCCTTTTCCTCATTTCCAGGTCCTTCTAACTGTGAGTGTGAGTTGAGCTGATTAAAAGACTGTGACTCCTCAACATTGTGTCACTGAGGAAACAACCCAGAACGTGATCAGGACCAGGACCCAATGGCTTCTTCTCAGGTATCAGATGTATCCTCTGTCAGATGCTGTGTTTGCTTTTCCTCTAACATCTGGTGATTTATTTCTCTTTCTGGTGTTCTTGCCTTTTCAGGTTGTTTTTCTTTCCTTATTTCATTACTTTATTAATCATAGTCAATGTCAGCAGTTTCTATATTTCTCTCTTTTTTTGTGTGTTTTTCTTTTTTTTTCTCTCTTTTTAAAAAAATATTTTTATTGATTTCAGAATGGATAGGTGAGGGAGAGAGAGATAGAGACATCAATTACATTAGAGAATTATGGATCAGCTGCCTCCTGCACCCCACCCTGTACTGGGTATGGAGTGAGCCCTGACCAGGAATCTAAGCCTGCCCTCCTGGTTCATAGGTCAGCCCTTTACATCTCAGGCACACTGGCCGGGCTATAATCCCCTCCTTTGTGCCAGAGCCGTGTCTGCATTCATTTTGTCACCCTCACAGGTCAGGAAGCATTCCTACCTTTAATTAGTGATTTTCAACTAATAAAAACATTTCTTTTGTGACAGATCAAACTTGGAAGGCAGCCATGTCTAACATCCCTATTGGGATGGGGTCAGAGGCTCAGGTATTAGAAAAGAAGGAAAATGAAGGTTTTAGGTTCACATGGCTGCAGCATGAGCTCTAGATCAGGGGTAAGAAGATGCACATTTTACTGCTCAGAATAGCTCAGAAAGTTCTGAAAAGAAGGGCAAATAGAAGAAACTTGCTCATTAGATTACTACGAAAGACTTGGGAAGTACATGTTCTATTAGCTTACAGAACATGAGAGGTACACGTGGGTTGACACAGGCAAAAATAAATGTTTATTTGTGATCATTTCCACAAATTTTTTTAATTTATTGAGGTATTTTTCGCAGTAATGTCACACCAGTGATGACCTGACCTTCCCTGTGCTTCAGTCACCTGATGCCCTTTGTCTCAGTCCAACTGATGATCACATGGCAGAGCTGCTCCCCTCACTGTAGTAGCGATTTAATGAAAGTTGTACAAAGACCATCGCTTCACATCTAGCAGTGTCCATCCTCTTAGATAGCGTTTGCTTTAGAAAATGAAGGACTTACTTTTCTTTCCTACAGATCATTGGCTTTTGCATGGGAGCTGTAAACAATTAGGCCTTGATTCTTTACATTTTCCTTATATTCTATTCCATCATGGACATACCCTACATTATCATTTTTTGTATTGTCTAGAAAGTTTCCAAGAATGATATCATTAATGTCTGATCAGTTTTATTAAATTTCTACAATATAGCTCTCCACTAATGATATGTAAAAATTTTGAAAGAAATGTATTAGTAAGAAAAAATTAGTTCCCCCAGGCTGGTGTGGATCAGTGGTGGAGGGTTTGATTCCTCTCCTAGGGCAAGTAGCTCCTGGGTACCTGTGGTAGGCAGCCAATCCATGTGTCTCTGTCTCTCCCCTTTTCCTGCCTCTACCTTCCTGCCTTTCACTCTCGAAAGTTCAATGGAAAATATCTCCCCAGGGGAGCATTTAAAACCACACAAAGTTAACAGTGTGCCTTTTTGGCTTTATATCATTAAGTTTCACTCTGTATTGTGTTTATAAAACACAAAGGGGATCATACACAAATAGATTCATGAGATTTACACACTCACTAAGCCATTTTGATTTCATAGTTGTAAAATGTGTGTGTATGTGCCTAAACTGTTAACTTTATTTTAGCTATTTTTCTTTGTGTTTTTTTTCCCCCAAGTATATTTTTATGTATTTCAAAGAAGAAGAGAGAAGTAGAAAGAGATAGAAACATCAATGATGAGAGAGAATCATTGACCGGCTGCCTCCTATACACCCCACACTTGGGATTGAGCCTGCAACCTGCTCATGTGTCCAGAGCAGGAATTGAGTGAGTGACCTCTTGGTGCATGGGTCAGCACGCAACACTGAGCCACACCAGCTGGACCAGGCCGAATAATCTTCTACGATTACTCAGTAAATTTCCAATTTGGATTGTAGTTCTTATGTGTCCTATTCCATGAGAACTGAATTCCATTAATAGACACTTTTAGTTCAAAGTTCTGTATGAATTTTTCCTTGTGTTTTCTTTTTCTGGGTATTCAGAAGTTTGGCACATCACCCGGAAATATTGGCATCACAAGTAAAAAGTGAGCTTGTGACACATATGGAAACACAGGCCCCATCTCAGAACCCGGATCAGCATCTGTATTTTTACAGAAGTTCATTTCGTTGTGTTCGGCTTCACACTTGAGAAGAAGTCCATATACTTCCAACCAGCATGACCTTTCCCACTGAGAAATATACATCACTGACCCTGAATGATGCAAATACAGCCTTCAGAAATCCATATGCCCCTGTGCATTTCTGAATTTTTAAGGTTATTTTCCTGTAAAATAAAATCTGTACTGTGGATTTGTGGACATGTGTCATCCTCGTGTGTCAGTGTCAGAAAACACATCAGAGAATGTTACTGGAGCAACGTGATCTTACTGGCTAATTCAGGATATCCCATAGGTCAAAACCTCTTCTCCTGACACTCTTTTCATGTTGGGTGACATTATGAACTCTTCTGGTGACCTCTTGGTAAATGTGTGTTTTCTTTCAGGGTCTGTTGACCTTCAGGGATGTGGCCATAGATTTCTCTCCGGAGGAGTGGGAATGCCTGGACCCAGCTCAGCGGAAGTTGTACATGGATGTGATGTTGGAGAACTACAGCAACCTGGCTTCCCTAGGTAAGGATGACTTCCTTCCCAATTTCCTACTCCATCCCCAGGGTTTTGTTTCCATTATTATTTTAACATCTCTCAGGGGCTTCTGCTTTTTCTGGTAGATTCTTGCTCTTGAAGAACAAATTGGGCCTTAGCTGTTTGGGCTCAGTGCATCGACTGCCAGCCTGCAGATTGAAAGGTCCTAGGTTCGATTCCTATCAAGGGTCAATGCTGGCTCCCTACTCAGTATGGTGTGTGCAGGAGGCAACCAGTCAACAATTTTCTCTCATCCTTGATGTTTCTATCTCTCTCTCCCTCTCCCTTCATTTCTGAAAGCAATAACAATATACATTTTTAAAAAGGGAAACAAATTGGGGGTAGAAAAGAAAGGCTTTGTGAAGTATGTGAATTAGGAACTCAGTGCACACTTTACATAGTGTATACACTAATTATGATACTATCATAAGATAAAATTTTAGAAAATCATTTTCTAGAACATTCTAACATTCTACCATGTCTTCTAGCCAGAGGACAACTTGGAATGGAAATGGGAAGGCCTCTCTCAAAGTACTCCATTTTCTTTAATTTTTATATTTTTTAAGATTTTATTGAATTCAGGGAGGAAGGGAGAATTAGAGAGAGATAGAAACTTCAGCTGGGCATTCATTGATTTTTTTTGTATGTGTTCCGACCACAGATCAAACATACTACTTTGGCATATTGGTACAATCCCCTAAGCAACTGGGCTACCTGTGTAGGTAAATTGGATTCTTTCACTTCGTTCTATGTATCTAGGCTTCTATCATGTCTTTTCATGGCTTGATGTATTATTTCTTTACTAGAGACCCAGTGCATGAAATTTATGCTAACGGGGCAGTGGGGGTGCACTCAGCCCAGCCTGCACCCTCTCCAATATGGGACCTCGGGGGATGTCGGACATCCCTCTCACAATCTGGGATTGCTGGCTCCCAACCGCTCACTTGCCTGATTGCACCTAACCGCTTCTGCCTGCCAGTGTGATCACCCCCTAACCACTCCCCTGCCAGCTTGCTTGTTGCCTAAGTGCTCCCCTGCCATCCTGATCGCCCCCAACTGCCCTGCCGACCATCTTGTGGCTGTAGTTGCAGCCATCTTTGAGGGCAGGACAGCTAATTAGCATATTCCCTCCTTATTGGCTGTGTGATCCACCATCTTCGCGATGGCACAAGGGCTAATTAGCATATTTCCTCTTTATTAGATAGGCTAGTAGTAATACTTCATTGTTTGTACTTCAGTGTATTTATTAACTTGTTGATGGACCTCTTCATTGTTTCCAATAATTGTAAATTATGAATAAGGAGCCCCTTGTAGGCTTTTGTATAGATAAACGGCTCAACTTTTTGATTTAAGGTTAAGGAGCCTAATTACTGAGTGTATATTCAGTTTTATAAAACCTCCAGAGCATCTCTCCAATGGGCTGTAGCATTTGGCATTTTCAGCAGCAGTGATTGGGAGTTCCAATTGCTCCACATCACAAAGGCATTTGGTGGGGTCAGTGTTCTGTATTCTGACCTGTTCCATGGTGGTTTACTATTGCTTGGTTGTGCTCTTTGTTACTTCTCATTGTCATAATGTGCATTCCCTTAATGACATAAGACATGCAAGATATTATTACACTGATTTTCTATGAGTATATATTTTGTAGTGCTGTGCTGTGCATTAAGGTATTTGGCTCTTTTCATGTTGTTATGTCAATGTTGAGTTTGAAGCCTTCTTTGTTTATTTTGCATAATTGTCCTGTGTATGTTGACTTTTTTATCAATATATATAAATTCACTAGATTCCTGGAACACAAAATACATGCTGTGTAGGGTTCCTGGGCCTGGCCTCCTGGCCTCCTCATTCCCTCACTCCTAAGTGCCTCCACCTCTGCTGGTCGCCCCCTGGTAGTGAACGCACGTCATAGCTTGCGATCGAACTCCCGCTCTCCAGGTTGAACTCCCAGACAATATGTAGATTTCTTATTGATTTCAGAGAAAAGATGAGGAGAGATAGATAGAAACAGCAATGATCAGAGAGTATCATTGATTGGCTGCCATGTGCCCTGAGTAGGACTCGAACCATGACATCTTGGCTCATAGGTCGATGCTCAACTGCTGAGCCATGCCAGCTCAGCCATGTTGACTTTTACAAATATATTTTCTCAGCCTGAGGCTTCTTTGTTTTTTTTCTGTTGAGGATGACGTTTTTGTTGTTATTTTTTCTTTAATGCTTGAGTTGATACATTGACGTTTCCAGTTTAATACAATGGATTGAAATACAAACCTGGTTATGCAGTTGCCTTTCAAAAATGTGAAATATATAAAATTTATGTAGTTTTATATTCCAGAATATGGAAGATATATTTGCAGCTATTGTGTCATTTCTGGAATAAACACATAGTGAGTCACGTCTTGAAGGAGATGAGTTGAGATATAAATTTTGTCACCTTGTGTGTATAACCAAATGAAATCTATTATTTCAAATGCTAGAGGGTCATTATAAAAATAGTCCTTTTTTTATCAGTCCGATATCTTCACTATTGCAAATAGTGCTGCAATGGATATATGGCTGGGTAAATCTTTTTAAATTCATGTTCTCTGTATAAATTCCCGGAAATGGAATCGCTGTGTTAACTGGTACTTTTTTGTAAATATTGGAAAACCCTCCATCATGTTTTGTAAGTGGCTGCAAGAATCTATCCTATCTAATAAAAGAGAAACATGGTAATTAGCCGTATGGCTGCTACCCTTCCCATTGGCTAATCACTGAGATATGCAGATTAACTGCCGACCAAGATTGCAGCCGGCAGCCATGCACTGAAGCAAACAGGGAGGCTTGCTTTCTCCAGTGACGGCGGACTCCAGGACTCCAACGTTCCCCACCTGACTTGCTGGCCTCTCAGCTGCAACTCTAAGCAACTATGTTGCAAATATAGAAGCTAAACCAAACCCCAGAAACCTGCGTTAGTCAGCCGGGCTTCAGCCAGCCAGACTGCAACATTGTATCAAATACAAAAGGTAAACAAAGGTCAGAAACCTGCTTTCAGCAGCGAGGCCTCAGAGCTAAAGCTGGCCCAGAATAAAAAAGGAAAAAAAGGAGCGCTTGGGAGCTTCAGTCACCCGCCAGCCTGAAAACGGCCCTCAGCCCCTCACCCAGACTGGCCAGGCACCCCAGTGGGGACCCCCACCCTGAAGGATGTGTGACCAGCTGCAAACAGCCATCATCCCCTCATCCAGGCTGGCCAGGCACCCCAGTGGGGACCCCCACCCTGATCCAGGACACCCTTCAGGGCAAACCAGCCTGCCCCTAGGTCTCTATCCTATATAGTAAAAGGGTAATATGCCTCCCAGCACCGGGATCAGGGGAGCAGCGAGGCCTCCTGGCACCGGATCAGCGTGACGGGGAAGTGCCCAAACCCCCTGATCGCCCTGCGGCTCTACGTGTGACAGGGTGCGGCATCCCAACCCCCTGATCGGCCCTGCTCTGTGTGTGACAGGGTGTGGTGGCCCCCCCCCCCCCCCCACAGAACCTGGTCTGTGGGTGAAATGGTAAAGCCATAAACTCCCCATTGGCCCTGGCCTGAGTGTGAAAGTGGCGGCGGCCCAACCCCAAACCCCATGATTCCCTTTCTGCTTTGTGGGGAACAGCGGGCGGGTCCCCTAACTCCCTCTATTTGGCCCCTTCTCTGAGAGTGCCGGGGGGAGCTCCTCAACCCCCCTGTTCGCCCCTTCTCTGTGAAGTGACAGGGGGGGAGCTCCCCCACCCCCCTGATGGGCCGGGCTCTGTTCATAACAGGGGTTAGCTCCCCAACCCCCTGATGGGGACCTGCTCTGTGCGTGACAGTAGGTGGCGCCCAACCCCCCAGTCGGCCCCACCCTGAGCGTGACTGAGGGTGGCATCCCACCTCCCAATCCCCCCCGCTCTGCATGACAGGGGTCAGTGCCCCAACTCCCCAATCGGCCCTGCTCTGAGCCTGACCAGGGGCTGCACCAAGGGATTGGGCCTGCCCTCTGCCACTGGAGAGCAGGCCTAAGCCAGCAGGTCTTTATCTCCCAAGGGGTCCCAGACTGCGGGAGGGCACAGGCCTGGCTGAGGGTCCCCCCCTTCTCCCCCCCAGTGCACAAATTTTTGTTCTCCGGGCCTCTAGTATATATATAAAAGCCTAAGTGATTGGTCAACCAGTTGCAATGACGACGCACTGACCACCAGGCGGCAGATGCTTAACACAGGAACTGCGCCCTGGTGGTCAGTGCGCTTCCACAGCCAACCACCCTTGGTTGTCCAACCTCCTGTGGTCCCTCCCACTGGCCAGCCAGCCCCGATTGCCAGCCAGGCCGAGGGACCCCACCCGGACACAAATTTGTGCACTGGGCTTCTAGTATGTTTATAATCTTGCTGACAGTGCATGAATGTTCTCCTTTCTCCATTTCATTGTTAATACTTGTCATTTTTTGATTTATGGATGGTTAGCATCCTGTTCGGTTTTTGGTAATATTTCATGATGGTGTCCATTTGCATTTCTTTGATGATGAGTGAATTGAATATTTAATATGTCTATTGTGCATCTTTATGTCCCATTTGGGAAATGTCTATTCAGGTCCTCTGCTCATTTTTCAATCATATTGTTTGTCTTTTTGGTTTTAAGTTGTATGAGCTCCTTATATATTTTGGCTCTTTAGCTTTTGAGGATGTAACAATGCTGGGCTTTTGTGGTTGTTATTATTTTGTGGTTTCTATGGTATGCCGAACTTACTCTTTTGTACTCTCATTTTTTCATTTTTTAGCTTCTTTGTTATGCCTAGGAAGATATATCCAAACCAGTATTTTTAAAAGTGTTGGTGAAGTTCATTGACTATGCTTTCTTCCAGTGTTTTCATGGTTTCAGGTCTTATATTTTAGTTGTTAGTCCATGCTGAGTTCATTTTGGGTCATGGACTATGAAAGGTATCTAGTTTTAGTATTTTTGCATGTATGTGTTCTATTTTTGTCACACAACTTGGTGAAGAATCTTGTATTCTTGCCCTCTGTCTTATAGATTAATTAATGATACATACAGCTTTGGACATTTTTAAAGTTGTGTTACTTTTTTCATGTTGATTTTTAAAAGGTCACTGTATATTCTGGATATTAACTACTTATCAGATAATGTGCTTTGTAGAAATATTTTCCCCTGCCACAGCTTGTATTTTGAACGCACTATCAATTTGCTTTAATGGAAGTTATATTTGTACTAGAAACCTGGTGCACGAAATTTGTGTACGGGGTGGGGGCTTGTGAGTCCCTCAGCCCAGCCTGCACCCTCTCCAATCTGGGACCCCTCAAGGGATGTCTGACTGCCTGCTGAGGCCCGATCCCAGACCTAACTGCTCCCCTGCCAGCTGGATTGCTGCGTAAGTGCTCCCCTGCTGGCCTTGTAGCCCCTAACTGCCCTAACCTACAGGCCCGGTGACCCTTAACTGCCCTCCCCTGCCGGCCTGGTTGTCCACAACTGCCCTCCCCTGCAGGCCTGGTTGCCCCTAACTGCCCTCCCCTGCCAGCCCGGTCACCCTTAACTGCTTTCCCCTGCAGGCCTGGTCCCCCAACTGCCCTCCTTGGCAGGCCTGGGTCTCCCCCCAACTGTCCTCCCCTGTAGGCCTGGTTGCCCCCAACTGCCTTCCTTCGCAGGCCTGGTCCCTGCAACTTCCCTACCCTGCAGGCCTGGTCGCCTCCACCTGCCCTCCCCTGCTGGCCATCTTGTGGCAGCCATCTTGTATGTTGGAGTGATGGTCAATTTGCATATTATTGCTTATTAGATAAGATGGGGTGTCATGCCTTTTGACTATTTTGTTTTGTGACCTTTCCATTTAGTGCTATAATAAAAAAAAATCAAATGTCATAGAAACTTTTCTATATGGCCTGGCCAGTTTGGCTCAGTGGATAGAGTATCAACCTGTGGACTGAAGGGTCCCGGGTTTGATTCTGGTCAAGGGTACATAAACAAGGTGCAGGCTTAATCTCCAGTAGGGGCCCTGCAGGAGACAGACAATGAATGAATCTCTCTTAATGTTTCTATCTTTCTCTTCCTCTCCCTTCCTTTCTGAAAGCAATACAAATGTACTGGTATTTAAATGAAAAACAAAAACTCTTCAATAACTTTTCTTTTAATAGATTCAGTTATTATTAGCATTATCTTTGAATCTTTTATCCATTTTGTTTTAATATTTGTATATGATGTTTAATTACAGTTCAATGTCACTCATTCTTTTACACGTAGACATTTAAGTATCTCAACACTATTTGTATATGTGAGAATATGCTTTACTTCTTTGGTGGTGTAGGCACCCTAGTAGAAGATTATTTTACCTCATGGGTGAGTAGTTGTAAACAAGCTCTTTATTCCACAGTGTTTCTTTTTGGTAGTTGTTGTTAATCCTCACATGAGGACATTTTTTCCATTACTTTTCAGAGAGAGTAGAAAGGTGGGAGCAAGAAGGGGGGAGAGAGAGGGAAACATCAATGTGAGAGAGACACATCGACTGGCCCCCTCCTCCATTCGCCTCCACCCAGGTGGGGTGGGAATTTGCAACCGAGGTATGTGTCCTCTAAGGGGAATTGAACCTGCCACCCTTAAGTACACAGGATGATGCGCTGACCCTGAGCCACACTGACCAGGGCCTACTGTGCTCCTTTATTTACCTGTGTCTTAACGTGTAGATGATACGTTTGGATCACACCAGTTTTGAAATATTTTTTTTTATATCTGGGTGTATGATGCCTTTCAGCTTGTACTGTCTCTCCCATGTTTGTTTTGGTTCCCTGGAGTCCTGTGTCATTTCATATCAATTTTAGGATGAAGTTTGCTAATTTTGTGAAAAGCGACATTGGGATGTGGATAGTTCCTGCCTTTTTTTTTTTTTTAAATAAATCTTTACTGTTCAGAATATTACAGTTGTTCCTCTTTTTACCCCCGTAGCTCCCCTCCACCCAGTTGCTACCCCACCCTCTGCCCTTAGCCCCCCCCCATCCTCATCCATAGGTACAATTTTTGTCCAGTCTCTTCCCACACCCCCACACCGCTTCCCTCCCCCCCCAAGAATTGTCAGTTCACTCCATTTCTATGCCCCTGATGCTATTATATTCACCAGTTTATTCTGTTCATCAGATTTTTTATTCACTTGATTTTTAGATTCACTTGTTGATAGATATGTATTTGTTGTTCATAATTTGTATCTTTACCTTTTTCTTCTTCTTCCTCTTCTTAAAGGATACCTTTCAGCATTTCATATAATTCTGGTTTGGTGGTGATGAACTCCTTTAGCTTTTTGTTATTTGTGAAGCTCTTTATCTGACCTTCAATTCTGAATGTTAGCTTTGCTGGATAAAGTAATCTTGGTTGTAGGTTCTTGCTATTCATCACTTTGAATATTTCTTGCCACTCTCTTCTGGCCTGCATAGTTTCTGTTGAGGAATCAGCTGACAATCGTATGGGTACTCCCTTGTAGGTAACTGACTTTTTTTCTCTTGCTGCTTTTAAGATTCTCTCCTTGTCTTTTGCTCTTGGCATTTTAATTATGATGTGTCTTGGTGGGGTCACTCTTTGGATTCTTTTTGTTTGGGGTTCTCTGCGCTTCCTGGACTTGTAAGTCCTGCTTTGAATGTTTCTCAACCTTGGGTACTCGTGACAGCTTATACTGTTAGCATTCCAATGTAAGGTCATTGCATATGCATTTATTGAGTTCTTATTTAATTACAGCCAGCACTACTTTATACTTTATTTTTATTGATTTTAGAGGAAGAGCAACTCAGGGGAGGTGGGGGAGACATTTGTTTCCCCAGTTAGTTATGCATTCATTGATTATTTTTTAGTGTGTCCTGAGCACAGGTCAAAGGTGCAATGTTTTGGTATGAGGATCACATTCTAAACAACTGAGCTCTTGGGCAAGGTGAGAATATCTTTTCTTTTTTTCTTTTTCTTTTTTTTTAAAATATATTTTATTGATTTTTTACAGAGAGGAAGGAAGAGAGATAGAGAGCTAGAAACATCGATGAGAGAGAACCATCGATCAGCTGCCTCCTGCACACTCCCCCCTGGGGATGTGCCTGCAACCAAGGTACATGCCCTTGACCGGAATCGAACCTGGGACTCTTCAGTCCGCAGGCCGACGCTCTATCCACTGAGCCAAACCGGTTTCTACTACTTAAAATATCTTAAGGTTATAACAATGTATCCTAAACTCATAGTATCAACTACATACAAAAACTCTGCAGATTGTCATTTTTACTCGTGTACCGACATACGTTGATATCACATTATGTTTAATGTTGTGTGCCTGCAGTTATTTAAGATTTTATTCTTCTTATATATTTTTCATTTTTTCAAAATACCTTTTTATTTCAAAGAAGCAGATGGGGAGAGAGATAGAAATATCCATGATGAGAGAGTATCATTGATTGGCTCCCCCACACTGGGAAATGAGCCCGCAACACAGGCATGTGCCCTCACCGGTAATCAAACTGTGACCTCTGGTTCATAGGTGGGACCCTTATCCACGGAGCCGCACCACTCAGACTATTCCTTTTATTTTCTAAAGTTACACAAGAGAAATCAAAATGATACGTGTTTCTTTAATAGAACACCACAAATAGAAGATGCACAAATGCACTTTCCTCATCTCTCTTTCCAGTGAAGAAACTGGGAATTGGGAGTGTTTTTATAATATTGCCATTGTGTGCCAGAGCGTTTGAGCAGGTATCATTGGCAAATGTAAGCAACTCTTTGTCCCTCTTTGATGTGAGCTTTCCTCGTTGTACCTATCTTGAGCTTTTGTTGAATCCTACACTGGCTCTTGGAGTACTCGAAAATGTTATTTGGTCAATACTTGCTGGTAAGTTCTAAGTGCACTCACGTGATTGTCAAAACGGAAAATTTGTTTTCTTTCAGCTATGTCACCTAACGATAACCAGGCCTTTATGCCAAAGCCCGGAATACAAGATTTATTCTGTGAAATAATACTGGTAAGATATAAAAGGTGTCGCTTTGATAATGTACACTTAATGAAAGTCTTGAAATTTGAGGAAGAGTGTGATGACAACAAAGGATATTAATATAACCAACTAATCTGGAAAAATTATCATAATAAATTTCTTTTTACCTAAAGAGGTCAAGTATATTATGAATTTGGGAAACCTCCCAATTTAAAGTCAGTTACTTTGGCAGATCAGTGTGTTTATGCACATGAAGGTTGAAAACAAGTTTTTACTGTTATGCATTCATGGAAAAGAAATCTGGAAAAACTAGGAATTCACATAGTCTCTAGTGTAAATAATTTGCGTTGTTTAAAATTCAGGTGGGCCGAAACTGGTCTGGCTCAGTGGATAGAGCATCGGCCTTCGGACTGAAAGGTCCCAGGTTTGATTCCGGTCAAGGGAATGTACCTTGGTTGCAGGCATATCCCCAGATGTGCAGGAGGCAGCTGATCGATGTTTCTCTCTCATCGATGTTTCTAACTCTCTATCCCTCTCCCTTCCTCTCTGTAAAAAAATCAATAAAATATTTTTTTAAAACACAAAAAAAAACAAAAAAATAAAATAAAATTCAGGTGGGATTAAACTTTGTCAATCATTTCTAAAATATATAGATTTATCATGCACCTATAAAATTAAAATGTGCTCAATTTGGAAATGTCTTATGATTTTTTAAGTTAAAAAAATATAATTCATTTCAGAGAGTAAGGGAAAGGAAGAGGGAGAGGAAAACATCCACGATGAGAGACAATCATTCATTGGCGGCCTTCTGCATGCCTCCCACTGGGGACTGTTTCGGTAGCCAGGCCATGTGCCCTTACTGGGAATGGAACTGTGATCTCCTTGTTCTTATGTCAAAGCTCAACCACTGAGCCATGATAGCAGGGCAATTTGGTAATATTTTATTTATTCATTTTTATTATTATTATTTTAAAAAATATTTTTAATGATTTCAGAGAGAAAGAGGGAGAGAGAGAAATATCAATCATGAGAAAGAATCATTGATCGGCTGCTTTGGCATGCTCCCTACTGGGGATAGAACCCAGGTCCCTTCAGTCTGCAGGCCAACACTCTATCCACTGAGCGAAACCAGCTAGGACAATTTGGTAATCTTTCAAATAAGGATTCATCCTTCTTCTTCTTACAATAATGTTTTGTGTTTATTTTTTGTCTAGTATATTAGGAAAGCTTTTGTTATACAACCGTCTAGGTTTAATGTGTATCACAAAATTGTTTTTCTGAAGCAAGTGTACATATTTAATGAAATTATAACTGTCACTAAAGGTCTTTCTATCTCCCATAATCACCAGAGGGCACATAATGGAGACAGAAGTTATGAGTGGATTGAACATTGGAAAAACATTAAGCTAGAGTCATATTTTAATCATCGGACAAGTGAGCTGGCAGAGGAGCATCATAAAAGTGGAAAAGTCTTTGACCAAATGTCCAGTCACAGTATCCATCAGGTTTTTCCTATTGTGGAGAAGACACACACAGGAAGTAAATGTGTCCAGTATTTTCTGCAGCCTTCAAATTACGAGGAACAAGAGAATATTCCTACTGGGGAGCAGGCTTACAAATGGAAACCGTGTGGGAGAGTCTGCAGTCAAATATTCAGTCTAAATAGACGCAAAAAAATCCATAGGGGAAACGAACCTTATAAATGTAAAGATTTTGGTAAAACATCTTATTGGCCTTCAGGTTATACTCTAAATCAGAGAATTTATACTGGAGAGAAGCCTTACAAATGTAAAGCATGTGGCAAAGCCTTTAAATGTCATTCATCTCTTATTGTACATAAAGGAAGAATTCACACTAAAGCAAAATTATACAAACTCAGGGAAAATGAAAAAGTCTTCAGTCAGTCCTCAAGACATACGCAACATCATAGAAGTCATAGGGAAAAACAGTCTTATAAATGTTCAGAATGTGACAAAATCTTTAGCCAGCCCTCAACCCGTATTCTTCATCAGAGAATTCACACTGGAGAAAACCCTTATAAATGTAGAGAATGTGGCAAGACCTTTAAAAACCATGCAGTTCTTACTAATCATCAGAGTGTTCATACTGAAGATAGGCCTTATAAATGTAGAGAATGTGGTAAAGCATTCTTCCACGCCTCAAGCATGAGTCGACATAAGAAAGTTCATACTGGAGAGAAACCTTACAAATGTAGAGAATGTGGCAAATCCTTTAGGCAGTCCGCAGCCCTTACTTGCCATCAGAGAATTCATACTGGAGAGAAGCCTTATAAATGTAGAGAATGTGGCAAAGCCTTTAGACATTCCTCCTCCCTTAATGTACATCAAAGACTTCATACCGGAGATATGGTTTATAAATGTAGAGCATGTGGCAAAGCCTTTGGCCGGTCCTCACACCTTACTTGTCATCAGAGAGTTCATTCTGGAGAGAAGCCTTATAAATGTAGAGAATGTGGCAAAGCCTTTAGGCAGTCCGAAGCCCTTACTTGCCACCAGAGAGTTCATACTGGAGAACAGCCTTATAAATGTAGAGAATGTGGCAAAGCCTTTAGATATTCCTCCTCCCTGAATGTACATCAAAGACTTCATACTGGAGATAAGGTTTATAAATGTAGAGCATGTGGCAAAGCCTTTGGCCGGTTCTCACACTTTACTTATCATCAGAGAGTTCATTCTGGAGAGAAGCCTTATAAATGTAAAGTGTGTGGCAAAAGCTTTGGCTATTCCTCAGATCTTAATCGTCATCAACTTATTCATACTGGAGAGAAGCCTTATAAATGTAGAGAATGTGGCAAAGCCTTTAGCTGGTCTTCAAGTCTTACTGTACATCAGAGAAGTCATTCAGGTGAGAAGCCTTATACGTGTAGAGAATGTGGCAAAGCCTTTGTCACCTCCTCAAATCTTATTAAGCACCAGAGTATTCACACTGGAGAGAAGCCCTGCATCCCTTACTAAGCATCAGAGAGTTCACACTGAGAGAAGCCTTCTAAATATAGAGGATATAACAGCCTTTCATCAGTGTTTCTGCCTTACTTTACAGCAGAGTTCACACTTGAGAGAAGCCTTAAAAATGTGGAGGATATAACGGCCTTTCGCCAGTGTTCCTGCCTTACTGTACAGCAGAGTTCATAATTGTAAGAAGACTTACAGATGTGAGGAGTGTCGTATGTCCTTTACCAGCTGTGAGAACTTACAGAACATCATAGAATTGATACTGGCAAGAAGCCTTATGAATGTGAAAAATGTAGAAAAGCCTATATAAGGCATTCATGTCTTACTGTACCTGAGAGACTTTATACTAAAAAGAGAACATACAAATGTAGTGAATGGGCTGGAGCCTTGACTCAGCTCAAAATTCATTGCACATCAGAGATTTTACAGTGGAGGTAAGCCTTACGCTGTGGATAATGTGAGAAAGCCTTTAATATGTAGTCTAACCTGCTCAACATTTTAGGAATCATTCTAAAGAGAAACAGCAATAATATAAAGTTTTCATCTAAGGATTTAGGCTTCAGAGGTTGAAGCTACATTGAGAATGATAAATAAGGTCTTACAAATTATCAGGCAATATGTTAAAGTGTATATTTTCATACCTCATACAACATCGGATGATTATTACTGGATCGAATTCCCGCAGATATAAAGAAAGTGACAAAGCTTACACATAATGTAATCTTTAACCAACAACAGAATTCATACTGGGGAGAAACAATACAAATGAAATATTGTCCTAATGTCTTTAATCAGCATCCGATGCTTATTCCTCACTTTGGAATTCATTCTAGAGCAGCGGTTGTCAACCCGTGGGTCCTGACCACCTTTTGCGGTGGAACGAGCGTTTCACAGGGGTCACCTAAGATCATCAGAAAACACATATATAATTACATATTGTTGTTGTGATTAATCACTATGCTTTAATTATGTTCAATTTGTAACAATGAAATTGGGGGTCACCACAATTTGAGGAACTGCGTTAAAGGGTTGCAGCATTAGGAAGGTTCAGAACCACTGTTCTAGAGGGATACCTTAAATCTGAAGAATGTCAGTATCGGGTATTGTAAATGGATAGAAATTCTACATTCATGTTATAGGAAATGGATAGAAATTCTACATTCATGTTATAGGAGGAGAGACTTTTGTTTAAAATATAAAGTTTATAAAACTCAAAGGAGACGAGCCCCCACAGTTGTGAAGAGAACCCACCAGAGGAGCTGCTGCCAAATGAGGAGCAGCTGCTACCACAACCGCCCGAGGAGCAACCGCAGCCCGAGGAGCCACTGCCACCCAAGGAGCAGCCACTAAACAACTCAACATCTAGATATGTCAGTGAGATCAAACATGGGTAGACAAAGAAACCCCCAAACGGAAGAAAAGGACGGCTCGCCAGAAAAGCAGCTAAGTGAAACAGGCATGCTGGATGACAGAAAAAGAATTCAGATTAAGGGTCCCAGAGTTCATAAACCACATGGAGGAAAAAAAACAACTTATGCAAGAAGAAACAGATGAAAAAATCAATAAATTATGTAAGAACCAAGAAGAAATGAAGTGTGATATAGCTGCAATAAAAATCACCAATGAAAGTTTCAACAGTAGACTAGGAGAAGCAGAGGACCGAATTAGTGAATTAAAGACAAGGAAACAAAACACACCCAAACTGAACTGCAATTGGAGAAAAAAAATTGAAAGACAGGAGGAGAGCCTAAGGGAGCTTTGGGACAACATGAAACGAAACAACATACGTATAATAGGGGTGCCAGAACAACAGAGAGAGGAACAAGGGTTAGAAAACCTATTTTAAGAAATAATAACAGAAAACTTCCCTGAGGTGAGGAAGATAAAAGTCACACAAGCACAGAGAGTCCCAAACCAGGTGAACCCGAAAAGGCCCACACCAAGACATCATAATTACCATGGCAAATGTTCAGGACAAAGAGGGAATCTTACAGGCTGCAAGAGAGAAACGAAAAGTTACATACAAGGGATCTCCCAGAAACACATCAGGCCAGAAAAAAAATGGACGGAAATTTACAAAGTAATGCAAAGCAAGGGACTGAATCCAAGAATACTCTATCCATCAAGGCTATCATTCAAAATTGAAGGAAAAATAAGAAGCTTCACAGACAAAAAAAGGTTAAAGTTTATCACCATCTAACCAGCAATTCAAGAAATGCTAAAGGGACTGGTGTAAAAGAAGAAAGAAGAAACTAAGAAAGAAAACAGGCACAAAAAATAAAAATAGCTACAAACAAGTACCTTTTAATAATAACTTTAAATGGACTAAATGCTCCAATCTAAAGACATCGAGTGGCTGAATGGATCAGAAAACATGACCCATATATTTGCTGTCTACAAGAGACCCACCTCAGAATAAGGCACTCACACAGACTGAGAGTGAAGGGATGGAAAAATATCTTTCAGGCAAATGGAAATGAAAAAAAAAACGGGTAGCAATACTTATATCTGACAAAGTAGACCTCAAAGTGAAGGCCATAAGAAGAGATAAGGAAGGCCACTTCATAATACTAAAGGGATAAGTATAACAAGAAGATATAACCCTGATAAACATATATGCACCCAATGCAGGAGCACCCAAATACATAAAAAGACTCCTGGAAGATATCAAAGGAGAGATCGACAACAACACAATCATAGTAGGGGGCTTTAATACATTACTGACATCACTGGATAAATCCTCTAGACAAAAAATCAGCAAAGAAACAGCAATCCTAAATGACTCACTAGATAAGATGGACTTAACTGACATCTTCAGAACATTTCACTCCAAAGCCATGGAATATACATTCTTCTCAAGTGTTCATGGGACATTTTCAAAAATAGACCATATATTGAGTCAAAAATAAAGTCTCCCCAAGTTCAAGATGATTGACATCATACCAAGCATCTTCTCAGACCGCAATGGCATAATATTAAAAATAAACTACAATAAAAACAACCCAAAATACTAAAAAATAAATAAATAAATAAAAGTGGGGGAAAGTCATCCAAGCACTTTAACTCCACTGTACCAGGTAAACTGATACAGCTCAGAAGTTTTTCTTGACACCAACTGTCAATGCTGGAATTTTGTATTCTGTTTTATAAGGATTTAGTAAACTCATAAAAACAAAAAAAAAATAAAGATGTAAAAACGTTATCCAAATATGACCCTTTATATTCTTGTTGCATTTTTCAAAAGTAGATCTTGACATGAACTTGATTGACTGACTGATCCTACATTACGAGCTCTATAGGATTCAGCTTTAAATTTTGCAGCATCTTCTTTTAGTTCTCTAATTAGGGTTTCTCAATGCTCCTGCCACCGCTCCAGGGGAAGAGGCGGTGTCTTGGAGGAAACCGGAGCCCATGGTGACCCCTTGTGACCAGGTTTCGAACGTTGGGGATCCAAAGGCAGCCTGACTGGGGCTGGCATGGATATGCTGGTAGAAGATGGTGTCTGCATTCCCGCAGTAAGTGGAAGTGCATGGCCTTGAGGTAGCACTGTCCAAGTTTTCTCTTGGAGTAGTATTTCTCTTGCTGAGCAATAGTCTATTCATCTGTTTCTCCAGAAGTTCAGTGATAAGCTCTGCTAGCCTCTCCTTCATCCTGTGAAAATCAGTTAGTTTATTTTCCAATAACTTTTTGCGTTCCATTTCTTCTTGGCAGAGTCGCACATATTTTTCCAATTCTCTTTTGATACCATCTTGAGAAGTTTGCACTTTGGAGATTTCTGATTCCAGCTCTTTATTTCTGGCTTCCAAAGGACTTCTTATTGAAGCCTGATGATTTATCATCTGCGCTGACATTTCTTGAGATGCTCTTTGTATCTGTAAAAATGAATTGATTTGTTCTCCAGTGTCTGCTACATCCCGTCTTGCTTTTTCATCAGTCTTCTTTTTCTACTTGTCTGCTTCACAGATTTCTATCCTATTCGTTTCCATATATGTTCTGAGATTTACTGGTTCTTGTTCCCACTTCTGTGCTGTATTCTTTAGTTCTTCACATTCCTTTAGAAATGCTTCCACTGCTAAATGCTGATGAGGTGTCTTTTCTTTAAGCAGATGTATAGATTTTGAAGATGAAGGTTGTACTTTTGCTATAAGAACATCATTAACCATGGGTTCACCTGGCTGGGGAGACTCTTCATCTTCTCCTAGGATTCTTTTCCAGAAGGATGTTGCTCTTAAACGCCAAATCATATTTACCACAGTTCAGTCACAATGGGATAACCGTTGTGATGGAGTAAAACGGCCGCCTCTCCTCCCTTCTCCCTGCAGAACGCTGGCAGCAGGGCACATGCACTGCAACGGACTGGGCTGAAGTGTGCATGCCCGGTAATGGACTTAGTCCCCATTGGGCTTGCACAGTCACTTGGGCCATGCAGTGAGGCTTGTCATTTTCTTTTCTTTTTTATTTCTTAACTCTTTCTTGACTTTGGCAAATTAAAATAGAATAAGTTAACAAGTATTTTTTTCAAAAAAATGTTTTGTTCAAAAATACTGTCAAAAATTCCTAAAAAGCTTTCAGTACTGAATATAACTATTAGCACAGTGTCAAAAATGTTGAATAGGGAAACAAAATGAAAATGTGTGGTCCTGCAACCTGGCCTTCCTGTGCCATCACCAGGGACATCTGGGAGACAAAGAGGAGGAGGAGGCAAGGCTCCAGGGAGCTCCCCCCCCCCTTCTTTTTATTAACACAATTTGTCCTGAGATGAGGCAGAGATATACACTTCAAAGGGTCAGGGTTTCCTACAGAGTCCGTTGTCAGAATGGGGGAATTACCCTACGGCTGTTCAGGTGTTTGGCCTGTACGAAGCAATAACATAAAGATTAAGATGCCCTGGGCTGTCTGGCAGCCACGAATCAATTTCATATATCCTATTCAGGTTTGGGGAAATGCCCTCAGCTATTCCCAGTTGCAGCCCTGCTGTCATGCTGGAATTGGTCTCCAGCAATACTCCAAACTTTAAATGTAGTTAGGTAATATTTGTATACTTGAATATATTAAAAGAATTGATGTTTCCATATGTACAATTATCTTAGACTATTCTTTATATTGAAATCACTTGAAGTCTTCTGAAAAGAAAATATTAATGTGATTTTTATTTCCATATCACTTGATGTTGCTATGTTTTATGCCTGGTGTGTATGTGAGTGAAATCATCGGGTTGATTGTTTCTGTCTTAAAGATCTGTGACCTGTGGTATATTATATGGACTTCCCTTGTGTACACTTTTTCATGGAATAATGTATACATTGTAAGAGGCAGTATTTTCTTCTATTAGAGAATCATGCTATTGAATAAATCTTTAAGAAAATTTTTTTAATGCTTACTGAGTGTATTTTTTCCAGATTGAGGAGGAAACTGGTCTAGCAAGGCGTGTCAGGCCCTAAAAACTGTGAACAATGCATTGCCCTGGGTGGGGGAAGAGGTGGGGGAGGTTGTTATCGCTGGCCCCAGGACAAATCATCGATACCTGGGGGCCTTCCTGTAAGCCCACAAAAAGGGGCAGAACCATATCTGCAAGACAATGGTCCCCATTATCTGTCCCAACCTCACTGGTGCAGTCCCAACCTCCCTGGTGCTGTCTCAGCCTCACCGGGGCCGTCCCTACCTCACTGGGGCTGTCACAACCTCCCCGGGTTCATCCTGACCTCACCGGAACCGTTTCAACATCATCAGGGCCGTCCCGACGTCACCAGGGCCGTTTCAACCTCACTGTGGCCGTCCCGACCTCACCAGGGCCTTCCCAACCTCACCAGGTTTGTGTCGACCTCACTAGGGCCATCTCGATCTTTCCTGGGGCATCCCGACCTCACCAGGGCCGTCCCGGCCTCACTGGAGCCGTTTTGACCTCACCGGGGCCATCTCGATTTCACTGGAGGTGTATCGTTGTTACTGGAGCCATCCCGACCTCACGGGTGCCTTCCGAGCGTCACTGGGGAGACACGAAGTTTGGCCCTCTGTCCCCTGCCAGGCGGCTCCCCACCAGACAAAATCTCCAGGGGTTCCTTTTGGCTGAACATCCAGGACGTCTGCTTGGACCACACCCTCCACCAAGTGCACAGACTGCCCGTCTGACATCCCTCAGCATCCCACGCGAGACTGGAACCGGTGGGTGTGCTAGTGTGCCTGCTGGTACAGCGGTTCCACATCGCCAGCCCAGCCTGGCCCAGCACTGTCCTGCCCGGAACCCGACTCCGCCCCCCCGAGTGCATCCCTCCTGGATGCTAGGAGCTGAAATCTTCAGCCTGCTGGATGGGGCTCTGTACTTGGTGCCTCTGCACATCCTACTCAGTCTCAATGCTCTTCTTTCTATGAGAGGACTTGAAATCTGCAGTTTGTTGGGTTGGGCTCTGTACTTGGTGAATCTATACATCCTACTCAGTCTCAATGTTCTTCTTTCTTTCCTTCCAGTTGTAGAGCTTCCACTGGGCCAGCTTTCCCATGGTTCCGTATGATAGCTGTTTGTCCTATAGTTGGTAGTTTCGATGTTGTGGTGGGAGGCAGCACGCACAGGTCTCTTCCTTACGCCACCATTTTGGTTTTCCTGGGTCTGCTTCTTGAGTGTGTCTCCCATGGATGCGAGCAGTTGAAGTCTGCGATTTGTTGGGTTAGGCTGCAAAAGCACAGGTGGGTCTTTTTGTGCACCTGGCACAGCTTGGATGGGGATGTAAATTGATTAGGGCTGGGTCTCAGGGAGTCGCCATGGCGGAGCAAATAGCACTGGCTGTGTCTCCGCGGCCCCTCACCTCTCCGGGACACCGGGGCTTCTCGTCCCTCAGTGCTGGCGAGCAGCCTGTGCAACAGAGCCTCCCTCGCTTTCTGACCGCTCCAAGGCCGTGCCACCTCTCCCCATAGGGTCTGGTGCCTCATGATCCTGCCCGAACCAGCTCAGTTGACTTGAGAGTTTGTAACAGCACAGGTGTTTCCTCTTGTGCCTCTGGCACAGCCTAGATGGGAATGTAAATTGAGTAGGGCGGGATCTCCGCGGCCCCTTGCCTCTCTGGGACACAGGGCCTTCGCGTCCCCAGTGCCGGCAAGCAGCCGTGCGCCAGAGCCTCCCCCGCTTTCTGACCGCTCCAAGGCCATGCTGTCTCTACCCCTGGGGCCTGGGGCTTCACAGACCCGCCAGAACCAGCTCAGTGGATTTGAGAGTGTATAAAAGCACAGGCATTTCCTCTTTTGCCTCTGGCACAGCTTGGATGGGGATGTGAATTGAGTAGGGTGGGGTATCAGGGAGTCGCCAGCGTGGAGGAAATAGCAATGGCGGCGTCTCTGTGGCCCCGTGCCTCTCCGGGACACCAGGACTTCATGTCCCCCAGTGCCGTCGAGCAGCCGCGCGTCAGAGCTTCCATTGCTTTCTGACCACTGTAAGGCTGAGCCCCCTCTCCCCGTGGGATCTGGGGCCTCAGAGACACACCCCGAGCAAGCCCAGAGGATTCGAGGGTTTGTAACCGCTTCCGATTGAAAAACAAAACAAAACCGAGCATCCAGTTGCAGCCCGCCTGGCATGTGACTGCATACCTCTGTTTGTTACGCTTCCGTAGCTCCCACTCAGTCTCACTGCGCTTCTTTCTTTTCTCACAGTTGTAGATCTCCCACTGGGCCAACTTCCCCATGGTTCTGAGTGGTGGTTGTTTGCCTCATAGTTGGTAGTTTCAATGATGGTGTGAGAGGGCAGCACGCACAGGTCTACACCCTACGCTGCCATCTTGTTTCTCCTTAAGAGCCTTTATTAAGCTGGCCAGCTGACTACAATTGTGTCCCTCCCGTAGGAGCCTCACAACTTGCAGTGTTGACCGAGAGTACAGCAAGACCTTTTATCTGCAAAGACTTCAAAGTATTTTTTTTTGTGTTTTTTTTTTTTTTAAAAAAACTGCAAAGCAGTTCATTAGCCGTTCCTGGTACTGCAGGGTAAAAAGTTTACGTAAAATTAACTAGCAGGGTCACACCTGGCTGGGTTCAGTCATAACACATTCCTTTTCTAGTGAGATAATTAGCAATTTTTCTCTCCCGTGGTCCCTGCCCCACAGCCTACTCAGTAATTCTTTGTCAGGCCTCTGCCCTATCACATTCCCTACTGGTCTTATGCCTGAGTCAAATCTTTGATTCAGCGTCCTCCTCTAAGATTCTGGAGTATTGGGTGTGTAGCACCATGGGCTTGACAGCTTGGATTCGGTCTTGGATAAAATTGAGGACACACCTGAGCAGGCAGGGTCCGAAAATGAGACCTACCATTAGGAGAAGGAGGGGCCCTGCCACAGCGGATAGGAGGGTTGTGAGCCATGGGGACCAGAAGAATAAATTCTCATACCAGTTCCCCTCTGCCCTACGGGCCTCTTCTCTGTCCATCAGCCATTTCCTTAAGTGACTTAAACTTTCTCTGATTACCCCAGAGTGGTTAGTGTAGAAGCAGCACGCCTCCCCTAATGCGAGGCACAGTCCCCCTTGTTTCAGGAAAAGTAGGTTGAGTCCCCTCCTGTTCTGTAAGACTACTTCAGCTAAGGACCCTACTGATTCCTCCAACTGTCCTATGGATTTTTCTAGGGTACTCAGGTCTTGGTCAATTTGATTACCCAGTTCTTTGTAATTTTGATGTCCTGTCACTAGGGCGGCTGTCCCTACTGCTGTGGATCCTGCAATTCCGAGTCCTACGAGTAGGGGAACCAGAACCGGGGCTCTTAATCTGCCGAGGCTCTATAAGGAGGTGTTCCCTTCCTCCTTCCCCTGAGTAATAATACACTTGCGGCAGGGTATAAGTTAGGACGCAGAGCCCTGGCTCGGGCCCAGTCTGGAGGTTTAGGGAGAGTATGCAAGGGGTAATTCCAGTGATGCATGCCCACCAGGTACCATTTGGGGCAACCAGGTACCAGGGGGCCCGGATCCTGGTCTCTCCGTAAGTTGGAGTGTCCGGTTACAATTTTCTGCATAGGGGAAATCGGGGAGGGAGTAATTGGCAGATGCGACACACAGCCCAGCTCCAGTAATATCACCTAAAGTTAATCCCCTCCTTCCATTTCCCCATGCACATAGTCGCGGGGTTTCTGCATCTGCGGACACGTTGTGAACATGGGCCGAATTTGCCCCAAATGGAGCCGAAGCTCCGATCCCTACGTAATAGGGGGGCTCGGGGTTGAGGCACAACCAGCAGTTCACAGTAAGATCGGACGCACTTTTGTTCAGAAGTTGGAACGAGGCTTCAAGCGGCGTGAAAATGTCTGGTTGCAGCAGAGCTCTCCAACGCGGAGGCCAGGTTACTGCACCCCGGCGACTTGCCTCAGTCTTTGATGATGGTGGTGGCGGCTCCTCACACGTGGGGCCGGGCTTGGTCTCCTGACCTCGGGTAGCTGAGGGGCCAGGGGGCCAATTGGGTTGAGCGGTCGGGGTATTTCCCGTGGCTGGATAGTAAATAGTACCCCAGGGTCTGGTCCAGAGACATATAGCCTCAATCCGCATGTCTGTCCCCCGGTCCAGTCTTTAGCCCAATTGGCCACTGGTTTGATGACAATGGGGTTGCAGTTTCCAACAGTACAGTTCCTTTCTGGGGCCCCTGGCCACACCTGTCGGGTGAATCGTATGTCCCTGTCCTGAAGCTTTGGGGGCCATTGGGCATAGGTTTCACAGCCCCACTGTCCACAATAATAATCCTCCTGGTCTCCGCACTTCAGAAAGGGAATCCTGGGCTGGCGCGGGCAGGCATATAGGGGAGTATGTCATAGTGTGTAGCCATTCCCCCGGGGATCCCCAGCTGCGACCCGGCTGGGCCCAAATTCATGAGCCTGGGTTTCTCCTGGGGCAGGTTCCAATCCTCCTCAAAGAGGCTACACAGGTCAAACCGTTGAGTCGGTTCACCGGTGCCCGTTTCTCGGGCCAGTACTACCCCATCCGTGGTGCGGATCACCTCCCAGACATAATGTGGGGCCTGGTGGGAAAGGGGTTTACCGAACCTCCACATGACAGTGAGCAGCAGTAGATAGATCATGATGCAGGTACTAGTTTCACCTTCAGTGGGTCCTGGGTTAGTTTCATTTTCCACCTCCGGGGGCTGTCACCGCTGTCAGCTGCCTTCACTTGGGTGCTATGGATCCAGTGCTCTTTCCTGCAACTTTGATGGCGGTTGGAGTGCTCAGCACCACCTGGTAGGGTCCATCCCATCTAGGTTCCAGGCTGCCAGAGTCGTGATGCTTCACCCAAACGCAGACATGATATAAAAACGACAGAAACATGACATGAAAACAACAAAAACATGATATGAAAAAAAAAACATGATATAAAAACAACAGTGATGCAAACAATGACTGATAAAGTGATTAAACTTATTCTAATATCTCCCTGTACACCACATTAAGAGTGAAAACACTTTCAGAGTGCTTGGCTAATTTCCCTTGTGATGAAGTATTTAGAACTTTAACTGTAACGTCACATGCTCTTCAAACTCGAGAGAAAGCAACATATAACTGAGCATGTGTGAAAATGGTTTCAGGTAGGAATATGCCTACGTTGTCTAGAATTTGTCCTTCTGATTTTTTAAAATATATATCTTATTGATTTTTTTACAGAGTGGAAGGGAGAAGGATAGAGAGTTAGTAACATCGATGAAAGAGAAACATCTATCAGCTGCCTCCTGCCCACCCCCTACTGGGAATGTGCCTGCAACCAAGGTACATGCCCTTGACCTGAATCGAACCTGGACCCTTCAGTCCACAGGCTGACGCTCTATCCACTGAGCCAAACCGGTAGGGCTGTCCTTGTGATTTATTAATAGTCATCACAAATGTTGGCATCACGAGAAACTGTTGTCGAATCAATTTAAATGGGAGGCCAGTGTCAGATGGGGACTAATTCTTTGAATCAGAACGACCTCTCCCTCTGCAGATCTTGTTAATACTTCAGCTTCAATAATGTTAGCTCGCAACCTTTTGATAATAAATCTGTTACCATTACAAAGACCCCATTTACTACTGAGATTTCTCAATGACATGATGATTGCACCCACTTTCAATTTTAATTTATGAAATGGCATTCCCGAAGGAGTAATACAATTAAGAAATTGGATGGGAAAATTTTCCTTTTCAGCATCATCTGTGGAATCACTGGAAATATCACTCAAATATGTGTGAAAATCTACATAGAGTATAACAAAATTTTCTTCATTTAATTTTTGGACATGCTCTTTTTTTGGACAAAGAATTGCACGTTTATTATCTATAGCAATGGTTCTCAACCTTAGCTGGACATTAGAATCACCTGGAATCTTTTTAAAAAAAATATATTTTATTGATTTTTTACAGAGAGGAAGGGAGAGAGACAGAGAGTTAGAAACATCGATGAGAGAGAAACATCCATCAGCTGCCTCCTGAACACCTCCCACTGGGGATGTGCCCGCAACCCAGGTACATGCCATGACTGGAATCAAACCTGGGACCTTTCAGTCTGCAGGCCAATGCTCTATCCACTGAGCCAAACAGGTTTTGGCGGGAATCCTTTTAAAATCCTGATTTCTGGGCCTCTTGCACCGGAAATTATATCTTGTTATGGGGTGGGGCCATTACATTAGTAACAAAGAAATAGAATTTCAGAGGATGAGCTTAGGCAGGCTCTAGCTTAGGCTCGGCCCCGCCCCCATCGCGAAGTCACTCAGCTCAGGCTCTGGCCCCGCCCACCCGCAGGAAGGCGCATGCGCAGTTCCTTGCAGACGCGGAAGCCGCCGTGGAGGGGAAGGTGGCGGTTCCCCCTGAGGAGGGTGTTTGTCTTTAAAGCTGACGCTCCCCGTCCCCCTCCCCGCAGGGAAGGCTGAGGGCGCTGCCGGCGCTGAAGTCCTTGTTGGGGTCCCCGCCCCGGAGCCTCTCTCAGCGGTGAGTCCGCGTCCCGGGAGGCTGCGCGGTGCGGGCGCCATGTGTCTTTGGGAGGAAATGGAGGCCCCGGCCCGGGGTCTCTCCGCCTGTGGCTGTGGCCACCGCCTGCCGCGCGGTTTTCCCGCTGAAAACCGTTCCCGGGGCCGCCGGTGCTCCCCGCGGGGCTGAGAGTCTGGGTCAGGGGGTTCCCGCCCTTTGCGACCCCCCCCGCCCCCCACGCCGGGCGCTTTCCGCCCAAAGAGCCCGGATGGCTCCCGGCCTGGGGGTCTGCACCCCCTCCTAGCCCCACCGCAAAGGCTTGGGAAACCTGCACCTGTACAAGTTCCTGCTTCTCCCCCTCCCACTCCCCGCAGGTCTCAGGGCTGCTGGGTCTGGTGTCTGGTACCCAGCGCCCCTGAAAACAGCTCTGGGGCAGCCTGGGAGGCCGAGGAGGGAACTAGTCAAAGATGCTGGTCAGGGCCCCCAGGGCAGGCTTTGTTCAGGGGAGGTAAGGGGTGCTCTGTTGGGTTGGGGGTTCAGCAGAGCAGCACATGTGCTCATTCCTGTAGGAGTTTGTGGAAGTGTTTGACACATGAAGACAGAAAAAAAATCTCAGTGTGGTTTCCATGTAGGAGCTCATTGTTCCTCACTCTCTCCTGGGACAAAGGACAGGAGGGGGTGTCCTTTTCCTCATTTCCAGGTCCTTCTGACTGTGTGAGGGGAGCTGATTGACAGGCTGTGGGGACGCCTTTGAAGGCACATTCTGTGACTCCTCAACATATTGTCTCCTGAGGAAACAACCCAGACCCCATCAGGACCAGGACCAAATGGCTGCTTCTCAGGTAAAAGATGTGTCCGGGGTCAGAGGCTCTGTTTGCTTTTCCTCTAACATTTGTTGATATATTTGTCTTTCCCTCACGCCTGTGTCCCCTGTTGCACTGTGTCCTGTTACCTACAGCTAGCTCATTCTCAGTGCTGCTTTTCCCTCTACTTTGTCATCCCTAAACCCCCCTTCATGTCCCCGCTCTCGCTTACCCAATTCTTTCTCGGTGAAGATCTTTACATCTTTCCAGGAGAATGTCTATGTAGGCCTTTTATTCTACCTTCCTTTATTATTTCTTGTAATGTCTGTATCACAGGTTTTTTATTTCTTTGTTTATAATTTTTTTGGGTTTTTTTTATTGATTTCAAAGAGGAAGGGAGAGGAAGATATAGGTAGAAACATCAATGAGGAGAGAGAATCATTGATAGGCTGCCTCTTACATGTCCCGAACTGGGGATCAAGTCCGCAACCCGCCCATGTGCCCTTGACTGGAATCAAACCTGGGACTTTTCAGTTCACAGTTCGGCTCTCTATCCACTGAGCCATACGGGCTAGGGCTGCATTATAGTTTTTGATAACAGAAGCTTTGAAGTATGTTTTAAAATCAGGAAGCCTGAAGCCTTTAATTTCATACATTCTTTTCTTGATTGACTTGGTTGCATGGAGTCCTGTGACATTCACATTAATTTTAGAAATAGCTTTTCTATTTCTGCCAATAGTGTCAGCAGTTTCTATATTTCCCTCACTTTTATTTATATATATATATTTCAGAATGGCAAGGAGAGGGAGAGAGAGAGAGAAACATCAATAAGCAGAGAGAATCATTGATCAGCTGCCTCTTCCACACCCCTCACTGCAGATCAATTCTGAAACCTGGAGTGCGCCCTGACCAGGAATGGAACCCCGCCCTCCTGGCTCAAAGGTCAACGCTCTACCTCTGAGCCTCATTGGCCCGGCTATATTTCTCTCCTTTTCCAAGAGCCTTCTCTGCCTTCATTTTATGCAGCCTCCACAAGGTCAGGAAGCATTCCCACCTTTAATTAATGACTCTCAACTACTCAAAACATCCTTTTTATGACAGATCCACCTGGGAAGGCATCCATGTCTAACATCCCTATTGGGATGGGGTCAGAGGCTCTTGTGTCTTGAAGAAGGGAAAGGTAGGTTTTAGGTTCAAGTGGCTGCAGCATCAGCTCATGATCAGGAGTAAGAAAATGCACATTTTACTGCTCAAAATAGCTCAGCAAGTTCTTAATGAAGAGTACATAATAAATGGAAGAGACTTGCTCACGAGATTAGGGGGAAAGTTTTGGTATTCAAATATACTGTTTGCTTACAGAACCTGAGAGGTACCTGTGGGTTGGCACTTGCAAGAGTTAATGTTTATTTGTGATCATTTCCACATAATGATTTCTTTATTGAGGTATTTTTGGCAGTAATGTCACAGCAGTGGTGACCTCACTTTTGTGTGCCTCAGTCACCTGATGCCCATTGTCTCAGGCTACCTGATGATCACGTGGCAGAGATGCTCCCTTCACTGTGGAGTTAATAGTCTCCCTTTCGCCGAACCGGTTTGGCTCAGTGGATAGAGCGTCGGCCTGCGGACTCAAGGGTCCCCGGTTCGATTCCGGTCAAGGGCATGTACCCTGGTTGCGGGCACATCCCCAGTGTGGGGCGTGCAGGAGGCAACTGATCGATGCTTCTCTCTCATCAATGTTTCTAACTCTCTATCCCTCTCCCTTCTTCTCTGTAAAAAATCAATAAAATATATTAAAAAAAAAAAACCTAGTCTCCCTTTCTCAGAAACAAGGGTATAGTAGGGGTTTAATGAAAGATGTGCAAAGACCTCATTCACATCTGGAAATGTTCTTCTTCTTAGTTTGTGTTTGCTTTGGAAAATGAATGACTTACTTTTATTTCCTACGGATCATTGGCTTTTTCATGGGATCTTTTAAACAATCAGACCTTGAGTCTTTAATTTTCATTATATTCTATACCAGTGATGGTGAACCTATGACACGCGTGTCAGAGGGGACATGCAAACGCATTTTTTTGGTTGATTTTTCTTCGTTAAATGGCATTTAAATATATAAAATAAATATCAAAAATATAAATCTTTGTGTTGCTATGGTTGCAAATATCCAAAAATTTCTATATGTGACATGGCAGCAGAGTTAAGTTAGGGTTTTTCAAAATGCTGACACGCCAAGCTCAAAAGTTTCGCCATTACTGTTCTATACTCACATGAGAGACTTACCCTACATGATCACTTTTGTATTTTCTAGAAAGTTTCAAAGAATGTTATTAATGCATGTTCAGTTTCATTAAATTTCTACAATATAACTTTCCACTAATGATACATAAAAATTTTGAAAGAAATGTACTAGTAAGAAAAATTAGTTCCCTCAGTCTGGCGTGGATCAGTGGTGGAGGGTTTGATTCCTGGTTTCGGGCAAGTAGGTCCTGGGTACCTGTGGTAGGCAGGCAACCCATGCGTCTCTGTCTCTTTCACATTGATGTGTGTGTGTGTATCTCTCTCTCTCTCTCTCTCTCTCTTTCTCTCTCACCTGTTTCCTTTTGTGCTTCTACCTCCCTGCCTCCTACTCTACAAAACTCATTGGAAAAAATCTCTGGAGGTGAGGATTTACAACCACACAATGGAAATAATAAGTCTTAACTTGTTTTGTATCCTTATGTTTCTGTCCTTATTTTGCTTATAAAACAAAAAGGGGATCATACACAAATATATTCATGAGATTTATGGAATCACCTAACCATCTTGATTTCATACTTATAATATGTGTGTCTCTGTGCCTAAATTGTTAACATTTATTTCGAGTATTTTTTCTTTTTTTCAAGTATATTTGTATGAATTTCAGAAAGTAAGGGAGAGGTAGAGAAAGATAGAAACATCAACGATGAGAGAAAATCATGGAACCGATGCCTCCTGCACACCCCACACCGGGGATCGAGCTGGCAATTTTGTTGTGTCCAACCAGAAGTATGGCACATGATTTGGAAATATTGGCATCACAAGTAAAAAGTGAGCTTGTGACACGTTTGGAAACACAGGCTCCATCTCAGAACCTGGATCAGAATCTGTGTCTTTACAGAAGTTCATTTTGTTGTGGTTTGCTTCAACTTGAGAAGTCTGTAAACTCCAACCCATCATTGCATTTCTATCTGAGAAATATACCCCACTGGCCCTGAATGATGCAAATGCAGCACTCAGAAATCCATATGCTTGTATCCATGCCTCAATTTAATTAATTTAGTTTTTAATATATTTTTATTGATTTCAGAGAGGAAAGGGTGAGAGAGAGAGAGAGAGAGAGAGAGAACGAACGAGAAAACAATCGTGAGAGAGAATTCGTGATCGGCTGCCTCTAATACACCCCCTACTTGGCATTGAGCCTGCAACCCCGGCTTTTGCCCTTGGCAGGAATTGAACCTGGGACTCTTCAGTCTGCAGGCCCACCCTCTATCCCCCTGTGCCCACTGAGCCAAACCAGCTATGGCCATGACTTAATTTTAAAGTTTATTTTCTTATATAGGAAAATCTGAATCCTGGATCTATGGACATGTGTCATCCTCACTTGTCAATCTTAGAACACATATCAGAGAATGTTCCTGGGGCAAAGGTATCTGATTCAGGATACTCCCCTAGGTCCAAACCTCTTCTGACACTCATTTCATGTTGGGTGACTTTGTGAACACTTCTGGAGACCTTTTGGTAAATGTTTCTTATCTTTCAGGGACCTTTGACCTTCAGGGATGTGGCCATAGATTTCTCTCAGGAGGAGTGGGAATGCCTGGACCCAGATCAGCGGAAATTGTACCTGGATGTGATGTTGGAGAACTACAGCAACCTGGTGTCCGTGGGTAAGGATGACTTCCTTCCTGAGTTCCTACTCTACCCGCAGGTTTTTGTTTCACATCTCCATGGCCTTTTCTTTTCTGTGGTCGATTCTTGCTCTCAAGGAACACGTTGGTCCATAGCTGGTTTGGCCCAGTGGATAGAACACCGGCCTGCAGAATGAAAGGTTCCAGTGTCGACTCTGTTCAAGGGCAAATGCCAGAGTTGTGGGCTCGCTCCCCAGTATGGGGTGTGCAGGAGGCAACTGATCAATGATTCTCTCTCCTCATTAATGTTTCTGTCTCTCTCTCCTGTCTTCCTCTCTAAAAGGAATAAATATATATAGTTTTTTAAAAAGGAACAAATGGGGAATTCCTTGGTGTAGAAAAGAAACACTTTTTGATGTATGTGAATTAGGAACTCAGTGTTTGCACACATTACATTTTGTCTACACTAATGAAGGTAATATCAGAAAGTCATATTTTAAAAATCATTTTCTAGAATATTCTATAGTCTACACTAGAGGCCTAGTCCACGAAATACATGCATGAGAAGGATCCCTAGGCCTGGTCTCCCCCCTCCCCACCTCCTCCTCCCCTCCCTCTATTAGTGCCCCGCCGCTATCTCTGCTCTCCATCCTTCTTCTGGACCGGCCCCTGGTGGTCAGCGCACATCACAGGGAGTGATGGAACTCCTGCTCTCCGGGTTGTACTTCCGAGAGGACACTTTGTACATTAGCCATATATGTGCCTGTGTGTGTGTGTGTGTGTGTGTGTGTGTACACATATATATGTAATCTAATAATAGACAAATAGGGTAATTGACCGTACCTTCGCTATGCCTCCCATTGGCTACTCAGCGTGATATGCAAATTAACCAGTAACAAATATGGCAGTTACTTTTCATACGTAGGCGCGAAGTGGAGGAGCAAAGACTGAAGGCGGCTCCGGCGGGAGCAGCGAGAGGCATGGAGGTGGCTCGTTGGGAGCGAAGGCCTCGGTCCTTGGTGTCGGAGGAAAACCAGTGCCGGCAGCCAGGGCAAGGGAAAGCCTATTGCACAGGCCTACAACAGGCCTCTACTGTGTGTGTGTGTGTGTGTGTGTGTGTATACAT